GTGAGCCCTTGCGGGGGCACACTTCTTCAGTTAACTCAGTCTCGTTCTCGCCGGACGGCACTCGCATCGTCACTAGTTCTGACGATAAGACTGTTCGGCTGTGGGATGCAGGGACGGGGAAGTCAGTCGGTGAGCCCTTGCGGGGGCACACTGAATCAGTTTTTTCGGTCTCATTTTCGCCGGACGGCACTCGCATCGTAACTGGTTCGGTGGACCACGATGTTCGGCTGTGGGATGCAGGGACGGGGAAGCCAGTTGGTGAGCCCTTGCGGGGGCACACTTCTTCAGTTAACTCGGTCTCGTTCTCGCCGGACGGCACTCGCATCGTCACTGGTTCTGACGATAAGACTGTTCGGCTGTGGGATGCAGGGACGGGGGAGCCAGTCGGAGAGCCCTTGGAGGGGCACACTCATCCAGTCTTGTCTGTCTCATTCTCGCCGGATGGCACCCGCATCGTCACTGGTTCGCATGACAAGACTGTTCGGCTGTGGGATGCAGGGACGGGGGAGCCAGTCGGTGAGCCCTTGCGGGGGCACACTTCTTCAGTTTACTCGGTCTCGTTCTCGCCGGACGGCACTCGCATCGCCACTGCTTCTTTGGATGACACTGTTCGGCTGTGGGATGCAGGGACGGGGCAGCCATCGCAACAGTGTGCTGAGTTAGATCATCCAGCATTCTCAGATGAACATCGCACGATCGAGGTTACCACTGCCATGACATTGAACACTCTGAACAATCACTTCATTCGCTTCTCGTCCAACTCTACCCATGCGCTCTGCGACACTTCTGAGTTAATGGAGGGTGCATCCCATTGCGACCGTAGTTCGACCCCCTTTGTCCTGGATGGTAGTGGATGGGTGATAGGACCCAAACATCGGCTGTTATTTTGGGTACCGCCTGCTTCTCGATATTCATTTTGGAGCCCTGGGACTGCGTTAGTGATACCCAGAGGTCTTGACCTTGATTTGAGCTGCATGGCACATGGACAACACTGGCAAAAGTGCCGAGAGGAGTGAGTCGCTTCGAAGACCTTTCTATTCCTCGCGCTTACTAAAATCAAGACTTGCAGACCTTAGAACCAATGATGATCGCAGCAATGTATCCATTATGAAGATTTCAGATACCATTTACATGTGACCGAGTGTACAGTAGATCATACTTCGTATTCTATTCTATACCCAGCATCTAACCTGAGTTCAGGCTCGTCCATGTGGATGACTTGAGCTGATTGCTATAGCAGTAATTATGATGTTCGTGCTAGTTCGTGATAGCATGTAACGACGGATAAGGCATGCCGATTCCATCAGAGATGCAGTTGCGCGTGCACCAGTGGATTGTGTTGAAGTGATGCATAGCATCAGTGCGCGGACTGAGAAACAGAAGGACATGTTGTTGCGGTCACCTGTGCACATGGTCGTTCAAATCAAGTACATTCAAACTGGGCCAAAAAGCTGAGATCACAGGGTATGGAATATGAGTTCATTGCAAGTGTTCATTGTACAGTACAGCATGTAATTGCGATATCCACGACAAAGGCGGTGAGAACGAGAGCACCATGAAAACGATGCGTGTAGGATGTTGTGAGCTGTGGGGCGTGAAAAAACAACTGGACACTGGGTAAAAGCAAGCGAACGGGGGATGAAATTGAGGCAATGCGGAGAGCTAGTAGGGGCTAACATGAGAAGTTCCGGCACGATAGATGACATTGAATTGAGGGTGATATTGGACGCAGGTGCACCAGGGTGTCACAACGGACATCCTCGTCAAGGAGCTCTTCAATAGTCTGAATTGGTTTCTGGAGACTCAACAGGAAGAGTATACAATTGAGTTCAATAAGTCTGCGTTGAACTCGCAACAAATGCGTGACAATGTAAATCTCTGCATATGAGACTAGGAGAAGTAGACTGCGACTCACTATTTGGTGGTGCATATTGTCAATTTCCGTGGCTCACTTATCCTCTCCAATGCAGGGCTTAGCGTAGCGGTGTCTTCATTTCCGCAGAGGTGTAAGCACATATGGGAGTGATCGCTGGTGGAGGAGAGAATATGAGGGTAAATCATGTCTAGCGAAGTTTGACGTACTTTGAGAGGAACTGACATTTCGATCAGATGGCAACTTGCGGGACAGTTAATTGCCCAAGGTCTGCCTAGGGGAGATAGATGATATGTCTGTAGGGGGGAAGGCGGTCGAGGTACTTATCAAAGTTGAGATGAGGCCGTGCGCCTGACGGATATGAGGCAGTTGTGTATAGCTGTGCATTATCTGAGGGGAACTCGCTTACGGTTATAGTCCTAATGATCCAGAGTCTTATCTCACCCGTTCCCGCATTGATTTCAAGTTGTTCAACTACCAGGTGCACTCGAATCTCAGATTCGAGTCATTCGACTGGAGTTTCGGTTGCTTTGGAGTGTTTGGTTGGCCTTTGGACGTTGAGGTTGATTGATCGGGTTCAACTTGTACATATTTTACCTTTTGCGTCGCCTGCCGCTCTTCGTGAACGGTGACGACCCTTAGGCCTCAACTGGCGCGCGTGTTCTGTTCTGCTTTCTTTTTCACATCACGGCACAGCACTGTCTGTTCCATGTTATGTCAATTTATCAGACGAATTTTACTTTGTCAATTGTATATGATTTACCCTTGGCAAGGTAAAATTCGTCTGATAACTAATGTTCTTCCACAGTGTCCACTCTCCACCGTGCTTTGTGCGGTGGAGCCTTTTGATACGCATGGTAACCACGGTGATGAGCGACGCACAGTACTGCTTGACTCAACTACTTGTGAGTACCATTCTCAAGTTCAACATCGTCGTTTTTTTTCTCAACGCGCTAGTACACAGTTTTTGTTCGAAACATTTTTAAAATATCCGCCCGCTACCTCAGACGAGCATTTACTTTCATCACTAGCAGTAACATCAACCGCGTGTGTATTGCCATCTTTGTCGTTTGAGACACTTGATGCCTCGTCGGCTTGTTAGTTTGACGTATTGCCTCGCAGACTAGTAGCTAGTGGGCTAAACTGGCTAATCAAAAAGGGCACTACAACAACAGTCACCCATTTCAGATACCCATACCAATACTGGCGACCAACAGCCGGATCGACCTGTCCGTAGACTATAACTCGGCCTCGCGCTCTTCTTCCGGTCTATTCTGAAATGGTCAGAATGGGCTTGATGCATTCATGCTTACGCACTCGTTTGTCCTACCGCTGACTGACGCAGTTGTTGGTACCGGTATGTACCATGAATATTTGACCCGATAGTTGCCGATTCCCCAGATATTCTTTTATACATAAGAAAAAACGTATTCGTCTGTCAAGCATTCACGTCCGCAAGAAAGATGGAGAAAATATCAGCATGACACGATGGCGGTAATGATATTCTCCCGGTCTTCTCCTTTGGTTTTTTTTTTTTGAGGAACACTGTGTTGTTCGGGCTGTAGGTAAGTTCATCTATGATGTTTACATGGATGAAGTTGATGAGGATTTGAAGAGTCGACTCGAGGCGAACTGCTTCCACGGGATCAAACTCTACAAGTGCGCTCCTGTCCTCGAGAAAAGATGAGAAAGTAAGATTTGAGGCATCTCTTCCGCTGGATTTTTTGCAGAGTATAATATCGATGGTGATGTTTGGGTTGCAGGTCAGTTTAAGTTGATCTGTTTGGTCGTACATGCAGAGTCCGCAGAGAATGCGATGACTCGACACATTACTTCCTCAGGATCAAGCTCTGCAAGTGTGCTCATGTCCTAGCGATAGCGATCGGTGTACACTGAAACTAGCATTTTATGCAAGAATCAGTATTCTCCGATCGCTTTTGCTGGATTTTTGGGTGCGACCGCGGTGTTCGAGCTGCAGGCAAGTTTTATATGTCATATTTACGTACATGGAACTGAAGAGGGTTCGCAAAGGAGTTGACCCGACACGCTCTCCAACTTGAAGTGCATCCTCGCAAGAAAAGACCCGAAAATAGTTGTGTGGTCGACTATTCTCGATCTTTTTGAGCAAGTTCGTCATCCTTGTGTGGAGGATGTGGAGTTGACGGCCTGATTCCTCAGAAACCGCTCTTCTTATAATGATTCAATTGTCGCTTCTGCTGGAACGAACACTCTGTCCTTGCAATGTTGCTTTCTGGACTATGAGGGGTGCTAACCTGTCCAGCGTGTATATCCCGCCCGAGCTTGTCACCGGTATAGGTGCGCTCGTGCTCAATGACGTTGCCGTGGCAGCGATCAGGTGGGGTGCGCCTATGCTACACCTCCTTGGTTTGGTGGCCGAGATGCATAAAGTCGGGCAGAATCTTCAGCTTCAATGCCCGTCCAGGGATCCTATGATTTGCACACGAACGCGTGTATATATGTAAGATATGCTCGTTGTTAGAAGGTTTTTGCTAAGCATGAATAGTCAGAAGGGCGACTCGAAGGAACTTTGCCAAGAAAAGTCTCAGCCCCGTCGCCGAGTTCCCGCTTCTACGTATGAGTAGTGGAGAGGGGATTTTAAACGGAAGACCCGCGGCAATTTAATTTTATCGTTTGCTCGAGTCCTCGACGTAGAGTTCAAAGGCTTTTGAGAGGCTATGATTGGCTTGGGAGGTTTGCAAATATTGAACAATATTGGAACGTCTCACTCACTGGCACTGGTTGGCGACACATCTCATTTGAGATCTAGACTGTTTTTTCTGCTGTGCTCCTGGCATGGCCCGGTTCCATGGTCCCCGATTCTAGTGCAGAGAGGGTTCTGTCGAATGATACTGTGAGTTATTATTCATTGGCAAAAGAACGTCGTGGCAACATTGCACAGGCAACGGAAATAAGCAACTGGACCTAGAGCACAGCGGTCAGAACATTCGTAGTACGTAATGATCAATCACACTCATTAATATTGGTCATCCGGCTATTAGCAAGAGGCAACTCTAAACGCTAGTTGTTGGAAGTCGGTCGAGACTCGAGAGGTCTATCTAAATGGATCCATGATGCGTCTCAAAGCCCTATGGTTGTACAACGGTGATTGTAGGCGTCGACAAGAAATGCAATTGCTCCGGTGTTACAACAGTAGTACAGTACTAGTACAAGACAAACTTTATGTCTCATTTGCTAATATGAAACGATAGCAGTTTAAGCGAGTTCCCAATCTTCCCCGTTTTCGTTGTAGAAAAGTTCCCGCATGTTCAAGCTCTGACCCTTACTGTCCTGCACAGTAGGCCCCACGGTGAATTTTCCCAAAAGGTCACCAAACAAGAACTCCCTGGGAGCACTTGAAAGTATCACTTGACCTTTGGCGTCGACGTCAAGGGACAGACTGGCGAGGGTCAACGTGATATGGACATGGTCAGAGCCAATCATGATGGTCCCTTTGTGACCACCTTCGCTAGTGTGACGAGCGATACGGAAACGAGTGCGTTCAGTGTGCGACACATAGACCGCGGTGGGAATGACATCGGGGGGGAAATACCAGTACACGTAAGGAGAGACTTTGGAGCGAATGTAGAAACTTTTGTAGGGTTGCTATCAGCCGAAAGTGGAATATCCTGTAAGGAAATAACTCACGAGTTCTCGCTAACGTGGTCCACGAAATGAGAAGGCGACGGAATGATGCTCAACTGGCGACCACCTAGGTCGTCCATCAACAGGAAAATCACCTTGTTGAGGAATTGGGTCGCAACCCCAGTCGTGACGAGGGAGTTGGCGACGTTGGCCTGGTTCACATCATGGAGGTAGAACTGGGCGTTGACACGCTTAATACTGTTCGTGAAACTAGCGACGGAGGAAGTGGACACGGCACGCCACCACTCATCGGCAACCTCACGGCTAGCGAAAGCCACCACGTATCGCCAGGAATCGTAGTTGGTGCTCTGAATGGCAATTTAGAACGCTATTGAAGAATGAATTTTGGGCGTACCTGTTTGACATATGCGTAGAAAACCATGATTGTGCGTTCAATAGGAGAGATGATTTGTTGGTTGTGTTTGAATTGAAATGAATGAGTTGAAGACTGTGCATTATATAGGGAGGGTAAGTTAGTATTTGTTTAGGTTGATCATAATAACGAGAATTTGCACGAAGGGAGTTGCTAGTGATGTGCCGAGGGGCGGTCGCCCCTATCTCTTTTCTTACGCGACTCTTTCTCGTATGATCCGTAGTACTCTTTTTTTCATTGGTTGGAGTCGATGCAATATCGTATCGTAAAAGCACTTGCGCCAAACTCCCCGACCCTAGTTTGAATTGATTTTGCTTTGCCTTGTGTGATGCTCAAGATGCTCAATTCATGTAGACAGCCTAGACTATTTACGTCTGCTCGATTCAGTAAAATGTTATTGTTGACCGGAGTCCGAGTTAGCGAGCTTGCGTAATTAAGCGTTGCCGCGAAGCAAACTGGATATTCGATAGATGCATTTAGGTAGACTCAATACTGGCCGTCTCGTGATCAGCCATCGTGACCGCCACTTAGAGCTAATAGAGCTAGAACTTCAGGGGCTATTCATCATTCCTCGTTTCCGCTGAATGTACCTCATCCTCAGGCTAGGCTGGCACTTTTACATTCTTTGTTAAAGGAGTTAAGCACCATCATTGTGAACGAAGTGAGTCGAAGACTAAGTACGGTTAGTGTTGCCGTGAAGCGAACTGAGGCGGTGGAAATATTTGGATGTACTTCGGTACTATCCTTTCCGGTGCAATCAGCACCCCATGATCCGGGGCACCAGAAGTCAGCCGGTGTCTGGTAACCTGTTATCATTCAGACCTTTCTCGGTTCCTTCGAAGTTCGGACACCCTGACATCATTCACAATGAAAAGACCCCAGACTCTGCTCAACATCTTCGCTTCAAGTTAATGCTGCAGCCATCACCAAGCAGTATACAATCCTCAACCGTGTATCCCCACTGACGGCACGCCGGCTCCCGCCCTCCCCCAACCGCTACCATCTTTCTTCGCTCATGTCTCTCCTTCCTTACTTGACATGGCGCTTTTTGTTGCTGACGTGACAGTTAAACTTCGTTGGGATGCTGTGTTATTTGTATTCTAGCATGTAGCACATCAATGAATACAACCGTATGATGGATAGTCTTATACAAATGCGCGCGTCCGACCACCGTAAAATAAGCGCGCCTTGAGTCCTGGAGCGGGACGAGAGCAGCGAAAGTTATGGAAGAATGGAATTTTGTGCGGTGAAGTGAACGTTCGATAAAATAGGGGAGCTTTACTTCTGAGTTAGAAGAAGGGGGGTACTCCGTAATGAAGAACACACGGCCGCGAAGCCTGCCCATGGCCGTAAAATGGGTCAGAGCGTCTTGTTGTAGGTTGAGTAGACTGAGGTTTGCGTGGCCCCTAGGCTATCATCATCCACACAGGGCACCATCGAGAGTATTGAACTGTGAGACGGGAACATCGGCGAGGTGGAGTGGAACGAGTAAGTCGTTAAACTCGCTAGTCACGAATGCAGTGATATGTATGCCGCGGCCACAGACACGGCTCCGGTACTCCTCTAGTAATATCTGGTCGAAGGGAATTAACAAGTGTGCACTGGCGTGATCGCGTGAATGGTATGGTTATTCGGGGTACTGGTTGCTGAGCTTTTCCCATACTTCGAACGTTATTGCGGTACTCCAGATTCAGCAGTGGAGCATCCCCAGCGAGGCGGTGCCGTCCGTAATGTTTCTATTTGTCGTCGTCCTCGAGTCACAAGTGATAGTATTCCCTGTCAGTATTTGAACTCTGTTAATACAAATGCTCCCATAGCTGCACATAGGCCAGCGCCGCTAGTGCGACAACTCCGCCGCACATCTGCTGATGTGCACGTTGCCAGTGGATCTACCAGTATCCTCGCTGACGAACTAGCGGGTCTGTCTATGACAGAGCAGGAGGTATTGCACTCACTCGCAGAGGGCGGAGGTATCACCCAGTATGACGGCATTGGGTTGCTGGAGTCATGCAGAAGCGATGTTCAGAAAGCATGCAAGAAACCCCCAAAGGTGGGTGTATCGTGCATCATTTGCAATCCCTGCAGTGGGGGACGATTCAGTAGATGGCTGGAAATGGTATGAAAAAGGGCCTACCGAGTGATCGCAGTTCCAGACAAAACGCCCCTTCCATAAGCTCTGTATCCTGGAGAAGCATTATAAATATCACAAGATAGAGAGAAAGAGCAAGTACCTCATTATATCGCCGGAAGAGATCTTGACCAACACCCCACCTAGCCTCAGTACTTGACAGTGCGTCAGAGATGGCCTGTATAGATTCTAGATTGAGGCAAGCGCATCGGTAGCTGTATCAGCTTGGCTCGTTTCTTTGAGTGTCCCAAAGTTTACTGCTCAGATGCAGCTCAGACGATAGGATAAATGCGCCAACGAAGGCATGCACTTCTTGTCAAATGCCAACAGGCGTGGACAAAGCGTTGGCTGATTCTGGTAAGACGCAACGGCAGCGTACATTAACTTAGGGATATCACTTGGAAATGAGATACATACCTGAGGGCTCCATTTGTCTTCGAACGAAAGGTGGAATGGACAGGGAGCCGGGTACCTGTCATAATTGTCTGGATGTCTTGGCAGACTAGCACATCGAGATGACCAGCGCGTCCATGAATGCCTTCGGGCAGATGTTAGAACGAAGGCACGAAGTTACCAATGAGTACAAGACGTTGAAACAAACCAAGAGAAACAACGGGGTTCGCAGAACCGGTCCCGAAAGAGATACGGAAGCTGGAATAGATTTCCCACAGATTGGGAAAACCTCTGGGGATTGATTATGAGCCAGAACAGTTTGACAGGGCCCGAATCGTTAAAGATCAGCTTGATCTAAATCGCGCCTTCGATAGCATAATCCTGCGAATGAAAAAGACCCACCTCGCTGACGCGCAAATGAAGCCGAATGACATATTGCATTTTGCTGGCCGTCCCTCGCTAATGCCAATCTGTCATGTCTGGCGCCAGCTCGTTCTGAGCCTAAATTGGTACTACATGCATAACTTGGAAGATGAACGCGGACGCTCAGGTGCGTTAGTCTGCGGAATAAGAGGCTGACGAGTTGATGGCGCTGGATTCTGCATATACCCTCGAGCTTTCGGTCCAGGACCATGCTTCTTGAGGTGCTTCGCAATGACCTGCCGGGTCTGATACACGGATCCGTCTTTGTGGCGCGAGCATTGCGCACAATAGCATGCAACACGTTGTTCGTCCGGCATTGTGCTGGTATCCAACGTCGTCGTCGTTGTATGAAGGGCTCGGGACAGTAATTATATGATGGGGCGAAGGGACTTAGCGATTTTCAGATCTCGCATCAGACGCGCGCGCGTCCGAGTCGAATATCAATCCTCACATGCATCAAAGTCAAGTTGATAGATACAATATACAGGAAGTTTTAGAATAATCTGACTCGTTGAGAGAAATGCAAGGAATTCCTGGGAAAGTATCAAATTTCCCCACACTTCCCCCCGGCGGTAGTCCGTTGTTTTACGCTGTGGTACTAAGAATGGCCTATTATTTTATATGAATGATGTAGGCTCTAAGGCCCTTCTTATCATCTTGCTTCGCTTCAACTGCTATTCACAATGAGAAAAGGCAACTCATCGACTCGGACTCGGAGGGATTCGACTCACACAACTAGCGAGGTAACAGTTCGTGGAAACTCGGTACGTGACTGATGAGGATCACTCAGTCCACTCCATTCCAAACATTGACACATCCTTCGTCTAGCACCGACCCCGTAGTAAACTCGGTCGGCTTCTGAAGAAGATTAAGGACAGTGCGAAGAAGTTAAGGATATTGGTGGGTCCACGAGCATGTATAATGAGTGTCCTGGAATACGACTAAGATTACCACAAGCGCTCGAACGATTCCCGCACCCACAGCCCTGTTCCCCTGAATGTCAATAATGAACGTGCTCCATCGACCCCGAATCTCGAGGTCCGTTCTCATACTTATCCTCCAGTCACTGTTCTCTCTCTAAATTCTGGTGGTCGCGCAGGTTCAGTTGGCTCCGTCTGGTGTGGAAGTGGAGGCTGATACTAGTAATACGCAATCGGCACTTCCAGATGCACAACAGGCTGCAAAACGCATGCATCCACCTTCGAGAGCTGTGACATCCGTGGTTTCTCATGTTCAAGATACACCAGAAGATCTCGATGCTACTGACAGTTTCCAAGACACATATCTCGAACCCCTCAGGATATTCGACGCTGTTATCGGAAAGATTGCAGATGTATGCAGGCCCTCCTCTCGATCAGAACCAAACTAATATAGTTCCACAGGTACATCCGTATGCAAAGATGGCACTGGGCGTGTTGTCTTTTGCAGCCAAAGTATGTTTTCTCTTTATCTCTTCCTGTCTCCCACCACTCAGCAATCATTTGTACAGATTATTCTAGCTCATGCGGATCGCGACGCAGCGGTACTCAAACTTCTCAAGAAGATATGTGATGTCTACCGCTTCATAACACGAGACGACATGCTTGACCAACTCTCGTCGATGCGCATCATCCTTGGCAAGATTTCTCAGCAGACCCGTGAATGTGCCCATTTTATCAATAATTATTCGAAGACCAAGAATTTTTGTGAGTCTTAACAAGCTGTTGCGCACTTTACCGTCTCAAGCTTTTACCATCATCATAGGGAAGATACTTGGAAAGGATGTCGTCTCGGAAGCAGACGATACGATCATAAAGTACAATGACGTGTTTGATAGGCTCATGCAAAACTTGCGGGACCAGGCTACTCGCGACGTAGCCATAGGCGTCCATAACATACGCACACACGCCAACAACATAGCCATACACGTACATCGTATGGGTAAGGGTTCGGACGTCCTTATGACTTCACGTATATTCATACCCTTTTCAGAAGAAACATTGGACCTCGGCGGTATGACTTATGCGGATCGCGCGGGACTAGATACCAGAAAAGGATGCCTTCAAGGGACGCGCACGGAAATCCTTTCCCAGATCACGGAATGGGTCAACAGCACTGGGGACAACATTCCACGCGTGCTGTGGCTATCTGGCCCTGCAGGCAAGGGCAAATCGGCCATTGCCCACACCATTGCTAAGTGGTTCAAAGACGTGGGAGGGCTTGGTTCGTGTTACTGTTTTAACCGAGGAGTAGATGATCGCCACGAAAAGATCTTTGCCACGATTGCGCGCGACCTGGCTGACCGTGACCCAGAGATGAGACGGGCATTAGCAGATGCAGTTAAGACCGCGAATTCGCTCAAGAATACTGCGGATATCATCCAGCAGTGGCAGAACCTTCTTGTCGAACCATTGGAGAAGTCATCTGGGTCAATTGTAGGACCCATCGTGATCGTGATCGATGCACTGGACGAGAGCGGCGGAGTGAAGACACGAATGGACCTCCTCCGTATTCTAGCTGGCAAACATCCAAACCCTGACGTTCCAAAAATCACAGACCTTCCTGGCAACTTTCGCTTCATCGTTACCTCTCGCCCGCTTGATGATATCGAAGACAAGTTTCGTGGTGTTGAGCATATTCGACAGATGTCGATGGATGATATTCCACCAGAATTTGCGAAGCGCGACATCTGTGCTTACGTATCCAAGGAGTTGGAAGGGCTGGATTTCCAGGACAGAGAGTTTGCAGTCCTCGCTAAGAAAGCTGATGGACTATTCGAGTGGGCGCGTCTCGCCTGCGAATACATCAAAGAATCCCATGCTGGGCTATCTCCAATGGAGTGCTACCAGGCTGTGGTGTCACTCGAACCTGCTAAGAGAAGCCCGCTGTTGTACAACATGTATCGCGTCATTTTAAACGATATCATGCTCGGGGATACGTCCCTGCATTCGCAGGAACTGCGGTTGACTGCGTTAGCGAGATTTCGCTCAGCAATGGGACAAATACTAGTCACATCTGAACCCCTTCCTTTAGCTTCCCTGAACGCTATGAGGCACCATTTTCCAAAGCAAGAGGACCATTTCGACGTGAAGGTTATGGTTACATACATGGGCTCCCTCCTCAGCGGCACCACCAATCCAGATTCTCCAATCCGACCCCTTCATGCATCCTTCCACGATTTCCTGACGGACGAATGATTCAGTGGAGAGTTTTTCATCGACCTGTCAAGGGCACAACACGACCTTGCATTCGCATCACTTCGAGTGATGAAAAACGGTCTTTGCTTCAATATCTGTGATTTAAAGTCGTCGTATCTACCTAATAGCGAAGATCCCGGGCTGCAAGAACGAGTCCAAAAATGCATTCCCCCACATCTGTCATATTCATCTCGATTTTGGACGTCGCACGTACTAAATACAGCCTTCGACAAGGAACTCGCGAAAGAGGTGAAACTGTTATTCGACCACGAGCGGGTATTTTTCTGGCTGGAGGCACTTGCCGTGACCAATGCGCTCAGCGGTGCGGTTGGTGCCCTTCCGCCCGTCGCCCAGTGGCTGAAGGTGAGCACATTGCTACTAGGTGTAAGATAAAGCGCTCATGCGCAACTACAGGGCCATCCCAAATTTGAAGATGTCTCCTCGACTGCAATGGACGTACAGAGGTTCATTCAAGTCTTCGGCGGCATGATCTTACACAGCACACCACATCTGTATATATCAGCACTCTCATTCTTGCCTGCCAACTGTCCGCTATCGAGAAAGTTTTCTGCACGGTTTCCGAATACACTTCGTGTGGCATCCGGACGTGATATAAACTGGCCGGCTGTTCAGACCGTGCTCAGGGGGCACACTGGTAGAGTTTGGTCGGTCTCGTTCTCGCCGGACGGCACTCGCATCGTCACTGGTTCGGAGGATAACACTGTTCGGCTGTGGGATGCAGGGACGGGGGAGCCAGTCGGTGAGCCCTTGCGGGGACACGCTTCTTCAGTTAAGTCGGTCTCGTTCTCGCCGGACGGCACTCGCATCGTCACTGGTTCTTGGGATCACACTGTTCGGCTGTGGAATGCAGGGACAGGGGAGCCAGTCAGTGAGCCCTTGCGGGGGCACACTTCTGCAGTTTTGTCGGTCTCGTTCTCGCCGGACGGCACTCGCATCGTCACTGGTTCTTCTGATAACACTGTTCGGCTGTGGCATGCAGGGACAGGGGAGCCAGTTGGTGAGCCCTTGCAGGGACACACTTCTTCAGTTAACTCGGTCTCATTCTCGCCTGACGGCACTCGCATCGTCACTGGTTCGGAGGATAACACTGTTAGGCTGTGGGATGCAGGGACGGGGGAGCCAGTCGGTGAGCCCTTGCGGGGGCATACTTTATCAGTTAGGTCGGTCTCGTTCTCGCCGGACGGCACTCGCATCGTCACTTGTTCTTCGGATTACACTGTTCGGCTGTGGAATGCAGGCACGGGGGAGCCGGTCGGTGAGCCCTTGCGGGGGTACACTTCTTCAGTTAACTCGGTCTCGTTCTCGCCGGACGGCACTCGCATCGTCACTGGTTCTTCGGATTATACTGTTCGGCTGTGGGATGCAGAGATGGGGGAGCCGGTCGGTGAGCCCTTGCGGGGGCACACTAAATCAGTTTAACACGGTCTCGTTCTCGCCGGACGGTACTCGCATTGTCACTGGTTCTTTGGATAACACTGTTCGGCTGTGGGATGGAGGGACGGGGGAGCCAGTCGGTGAGCCCTTGCGGGGGCACACTTCTTCAGTTAACTCGGTCTCGTTCTCGTCGGACGGCACTCGCATCGTCACTGGTTCTTCGGATTACACTGTGCGGCTGTGGGATGCAGTGACGGGGGCGCCAGTCGGTGAGCCCTTGCGGGGGCACACTGGTAGAGTTTGGTCTGTCTCGTTCTCGCCGGACGGCACTCGCATCGTCACTGGTTCTTCTGATAACACTGTTCGGCTGTGGGATGCGGGGACAGGGGAGCCAGTTGGTGAGCCCTTGCGGGGACACGCTTCTCCAGTTAACTCGGTCTCGTTCTCGCCGGACGGCACTCGCATCGTCACTGGTTCTTCGGATCACATTGTTCGACTGTGGCGTGCAGTGATGGGGCAGCCATCGCAACAGTGCGCTGAGTTAGATCATCCAGTATTCTCAGATGAACATCGCACGATTGAGGCCCCCAATACCATGACATTGAACACTCTGAACAATCACTTCATTTCCTTCTCGCCCAACTCCATCCACGCGCTGTGCAACACTTCCGAGTTAACGGAGGGAGCATCCCATGACGAATGCAGTTCAACCCCCTTTGCCCTGAATGATGACAGTGGTTGGGTTGTAGGGCACAAGCATCGGCTCTTATTCTGGGTACCACCCGCTTCTCGACACTCATTCTATAACCTGGACACTATATTAGTGATACCCAGAGGAGGCCCTGAGCTTGATTTGAGCCGCATGGCACATGGAGAACACTGGCAAAAGTGCCGAGTGGAGTGAGTCTCTTCGAAGCCCATTCTGTTCCTCGCGCTTACTAAAATCAACACTTGCAGACCTTAGTACCAACGATAATCGCAGCAATGCATCCATTATGAAGATTTCAAATCCAACGTAAATGTGGCCGAGTGTACAGTAGATCATACGTCGTATTATTCTACCCAGCGTACAACCTGAGTTTAAGGTTGTCTATGTGGACGACTGTGTAGTAATACTTATGATGTTCGTGCTAGTTCATGAGAGCACGTAACGACGGACAAGGCATGCCAATTCCATCAGAGATGCAGTTGCGCGTGCGCCGTGGATTGTGTTGAAGTGATGCATAGTATCGGTGTGCGGACTGAGAAACTGAACTAGAAGGACACCGTTGTTGCGATCATATGTGCGCGTGGGCGTTCAAGTCGGGTACATTCAAAGTGGGCTAAAAATCTGAGATAACAGGGTAGAATGGATTATGTAGTTCATTGCAAGTGTTTACTGTACAGTATGTAATCGCAATATCCACGACGAAGGCGGTGAGAACGAGAGCACTATGAAAACGATGCGTGTGGGATGTTGTGAGCTGTGGGGCGTGAAAAAACAACTGGACACTGTAAAAGCAAGCGAACAGGGGATGAAATTGAGGCAACGCGAAGAGTGGGCGCTAACATGAGAAGTTCCGGCATGATAGATGACATTGAATTGAGGGTGATATTGGACGCAGGTGCACCAGGGTGTCACAACGGACATCCTCACCAAGGAGCTCTTCGACAGTCGGTTTGTGGAGACTCAACAGGAAGAGTCTACAATTGAGTTGCACAAGTCTGCATTGAACTCGCGACAAATGTGTGACAATGTGAATCTCTGCATATGAGACTAGGAGAAGTAGACTGCGACTCACTATTGGGTGGTGCATATTGTCAATTTCCGTGGCCTACTTTATCCTGTCCAATGCAGGGCTCAGCGTCACGGTAGCGGTGTTTCATTTCCGTAGAGGCGTCAACGCAGTTGGAGGAGAGAATATGAGGGTCTTGATATCATGTTTGCAAAGTTGACGCGTCGTACTTTGAGAGGAACTGATATTTCGATCAGATGGCAAGGTCACGGGACAGTTAATTGTCTAAGATCTGCATAGGGGAGATAGAGGATATGTATGTAGGAAGGAAGGTAGTTGAGGTACCTACCGAAGTTGAGATGAGGCCGCGCGCCTGGGCGGTTGAGTATTAGTATAGGCGCTGTGCATTAGCTCGCTTATGTTAAGTTGTATGATCTAGAGTCTTATCTCACCCGTTCCTGCACTGCATCCCATTTTCAAGAGTTCCATAGCCCCTGGACGACTATCTTGACCCGCTTCGCGTCGACTCTACATGTTTGATTTCAACTGATTTGGCAGGTGAATCTCAGGTTCAACCGTTCGATTAGAATTTGAGTTGTTTGGGACTGTTTGGTTTTTGTGATCAACTTGAACCACCTTATGACACAGTGTTTCATCTTTTGCGTCGCCTGGACGCCGCTCTTTGTGAATGGTACTCAACGGGCCCGCGTGTTCGGTGCTACTTTCTTTTTCACATCACGGCGCAGTACTGTCTATTCCATGTTATGTCAATTTATCAGACGGATTCTACATCGTTAAGGGAGAATAATTTACCCTTGGCAAGGTAAAATTCATCTGATAACCAATGTTCTTCCACTCTCCATCGTGCTTTGTGCGGTGGAACCTTTTTGATACGCATGCTAACCATGGTGGTGAACGACGCACAGTACTGCTTCACTCAACTACCTGTGAGTACCATTCACAAGTTCAATGTCCTCGTTTTTTCTCAACGCGCTAGTACACAGTTTTTGTTCGAAAATTTTTAAAATATCCGCCCGCTTCTTCGGAGGAGCATTTACTTTCACCACTAGCAGTAACGTCAACCGCGCGTGTTAGCCATCTTCCCTGGTTGTCGTTTAAGACACTTGATGCCTCGTCGGCTTGTCGGTTTGACTTATTGCCTTACGGACTAGTGGCTAGTGGGCTGAACTGGCCAATCGAAAAGCGCACTACAACGGCACTCAGCCGTTTCAGACACCAATACCGATACTTGGGACTGTCTGTTGACTATAAACTCGGCCTCACGCTCATCTCTCGGTCTATTTTTAAATGATCGGAATGGGCGCATAAGATGGACTTGATGCATTCATGCTCACGCATTCGTCTGTCCTACCGCTGACTGGCGCGGTTGTTGGTACCGGTATGTACCACGAATATTCAACCCCGATATCAATCTTGCAGGTCACTCTTACGCGTGTGTCGCAGATTCCCCTGATATTTTCTTATACATACGAATCGAAAAAGTGTATCTGTCTGTGTCAAGTGCTCACGTCTGCGAGAAAGATCGAGACAATATCGACATGACACGATGGTGGCAATGATATCCTCCGCTGGATTTGGTTTTTGGGGAAGACTGCGGTGTTCGGGCTGTAGGCAAGTTCATCTATGATGTTTACATGGGTAAAGCTGAAGAGAATCTGTAGAAGAGTCGACTCGATGCGAACTGCTTCTGCGGGATCAAACTCTGCAAGTGCACTGCTGTCCTTGGGGAAAAGATGGGAAAATAGGACTTGAGGTATTTCACTGAAATATCTCTTTCGCTGGATTTTTGCAGAGTATAATATCGATGGTGATGTTTGGGTTGCAGGTCAGTGTAAGTTGATCTGTTTGGTTGTACATGCATGCAGCTGAAGAGAGTTTGCAGAGAATGTGATGACTCGACACATTACCCTCCGCAGGATCAAGCTCTGCAAGTGTGCTCTTGTTCTCGCGATAGCGATCGGTGTACTCTGAAATTGGTATCTTATGCAAGAATCAGTATTCTCGGATCGCTTTCGCTGGATTTTTGGGGTGCGACCGCGGTGTTCGAGTTGCAGGCAAGTTTTATCTGTTATATTTACGTACATGGAACTGAAGAGGGTTCACAAAGGAGTCGACTCGATACGCTCTCCAACTTGAAGTGCATCCTCGCAAGAAAAGACCTGAAAATAGTTGTGTGGTCGACTATTCTCGATCTTTTTGAGCAAGTTTGTCATCCTTGTGTGGAGGATGTGGAGTTGACGACCTGATTCCTCAGAAACCGCTCTTCTTATAATGATTCAATTGTCGCTTTTGCTGGAATGAACACTGCGTCCTTTCACTATTGCTTTCTGGACTATGAGGGGTGCTAACCTGGCCAGCATGTGCATTCTGCCCGAGCTTGTCACCGGTGTAGGTGTGCTTGTGCTCGATGATGTTGCCGTGGCAGCGATCAGGTGGGTGTGCTTACGCTACGCCTCCTTGGTTTGGTGGTCAAGATGCATAAAGTTGGGCAATGCCCATCCACGGATCCTATAATTTGCATACACAAACACGTAAGTTATGCTCGTTGTTAGAAGGCTTTTGCTGAGCGTGAATAGTCAGGAGGACGACTCGAAGGAACTTTGCCAACAAAAGTCTCGACCACGTTACCGAGTTCCCGCTTCTACGTAGGGGTGGTGGAGAGAGGGTTTTTGAACAGAAGACCCGCGCCACGGGAATTTGATTTCATCCTTCGCTCGAGTCCTCGACGTAGAGTTCGAAGGCTTTTGAAGGCCATAATCGATCTGGGACGTTTACAAATATTGAACAATATTGGAATGTCACACTCACTGGCACTGGTTGGTGACACATTTCATTTGAGGTCTAGACTGTTTTTTCTGCTGTCCTCCTCGAATGGCCCGGCTCCATGGTCCCCGCTACCCTAACCGCACTGACCTTCTCGTTCTGTTTAGGATTATACTACTGAGGCTATAAACCTAGTGAAAGTAAAGGTTCCATCGCACGACTGTAACTGCGTCCGATGACCAGCCAGCTGCATACGGTAACGGTGACCAACCCGCGGGGTAGTTTGCTATCGGGGGAGGGCTAGTAGGGGGGTAGGAAGCTGCAGAGACGATGCTGGAGAGAGGTCTATGCTAAAGGGATCTATGAAGCATCTCAATTTGAGCCCTGTACCTGATTGTAGGCGTTCAACAAGAAATGAAATTACTCCGGTGTTACAACAGTAGTACAGTACTAGTACAAGACAAACCTCGTGTCAAATGATAACATTTCAAGCGAGTTCCCACTCAGCCTCTCCATCATCCGTGTAGATGAGCTCCTTCATATCCAAGCTCTGATCATCCTTATACGATGTAGGCCCTACAGTGAATCTGCTCAAAAGATCACTGAACTTGAACCTCGACTTAGTAGGAGCACTTGAAACTATCGCTTGACCGCTGTTGGCGATGACGCTCATGGACAGATTGACGGTGGTCAACGTGATAACAATCTCGTCAGAGCCAATCATGACGGTCCCTGCAGTGTCCCTGTCACCAAGACTAACACGGAAGCGAGTGCGCTCGGTGCGCGAAACATAGACTGCGTTTGACGCGTTGAAGTTAGAGGATAGGGGACAGTACCAGTAGTCGTAAGGAGAGACTTTGGAGCGAATGAAGAAACTTTGGTAGGGCGCCATGAGCCAAATATGGAACATCCTACAAGGAACTAACTCACGAGTTTCCGCTGATGTGGTCCACGAAATGTTCAGGCGACGGGATGATGCTCAGCCCGCGAAAACCTAGGTCATTCAACAATGTGAAAAACATCTTGTTGAGAAATTGGGTCGCAACTCGATTCGTCGTGAGGGAGTCGGTGGCGTTGGCCTGCCCCGTGTTATGGGTGTAGAACTGGGCGTTGACACGCCGAATACTCTCTGAGAACTTAACGACGGTGGTAGTGGACACGGCACGCCACCACTCATCGGCAACCGCGCGGCTAGCGAAGGTAATCACGTAGCGATAGCTCCAGTTGTCGGTGCTCTGAATGGCGATTTAGCACGACATCGTAAACATTGAAGAATGAACTTTGGATGTACATTTTTGAGATATGCATAGAAAACCATGATTGTAATGATTTGTTGGTTGTGTTTGGATTGAAATAAGTCGCTTGAACACTGTTATATAGTAGGGAGAGCAAGTTATTTGGCTTGATCATAATATCAAGAATTTGCACGAACTTGTAGTGTTGTGCGAGCCTGTTTTGGGGGGCTGGGCAAGGGCTTGAGCGGTTCATCACTTTGCGGGTAATGAATACTAATTGTGGGCAGAAGATCGGGATTACAGTTAATACAGGAATGATCCAAGAGACTCACAGGTCTATCTTTACACAAATTTAGCCATAGGCACGGGCCTGCAGAGCCTCGTTGTGGGCCCAACCCTCGACCCTTATCAGCCCACTCACAGGGCTAGGCTGTGTCAGGCGGGCCTGCAGGCCTGAGCCCTGGCCCTCCTTGTCACGTCTTTCAACACGTTAACTTATCTCTTTCTCGAATTTTAGTATGTTAGCTCTCCTTGATTAATATTGCAATAATGCAGACGTACAAAACATTCAACTCTCTGAGCAGGTCGGGATGCGGGCCTGCAACCCGTTTGCTGCGAACATCCACCGGCAGCATTTGCACGACTCCAGTGACCCAATGCTATTATATTCATGCCATTGAATTTTTCAACAATGACTTAGCCCTGTCGCAGCGCCGCCACGTCACTCAAAATCCAGTGGTACAACCCCAATAGACACCAGCACCCCAACGAACCATACCATTCACGACAGTACCTGCCATCCTGCACACTCGCTAATGTCCTTAGGCCAGACACCAGAGTACCGGAGTCATCTGTGACTACAGCATACTGTACAAGTCCTTCGATTATCCACTCTGACAACTTACCCGGCGGTTTGCCTGTTTGAAGAGGAACCTGGCTCTCGAGCGTTGCGGTTGACGGTTCGCCTCGGACAACCTTTCGACGCATTTTTGCTAGCGCAGCGGCAGCGTGTCGGAGAATATAAGAGGATCGCGTCGGACCATAACAACCAACTAGATCTGAATGGCAATCGGGTCGTGCTTACTGTAACACAGGTACAAACGTACCGGGCTCGTCGCATACCTTCCCAAGATGGCCCCAACAAAGTAAACGGAATGCTGTGCTATGGGATCGCTAGCGTGCACACACCCGAGGCGAAGCGGAGGAAAGGGATGCGTAACATATGATGCACCTGCTGCACTGGGTAATCTCGTTCTATGATGATTTTATCGAGTTTCTAAAGGAGTGAGGTGTGTTGCTACCTAAAGTGGGCGGCGCAGGTGGAGCTGCGTTTTCGATCTGTTCTCTGGCTCCCTCGTCATCTGGTTCTTACTCCTCGTCCTTGGACGCATATTTGAGTACCATTCCCATGCGAGCCGAATAACTTCGCGATCGGCGTCGTAAGGTGTTGAAATTTTACTGTATCCTGGGCGTGCCGTTGGGTGGCGCACGTAGACGGCACTGCAGGTGGGGAAGAAGACCTCTGCGTAGGCAGGAATGAAGGGAGATGCATATGGAGGAAGGTTGAAAGGCGTCAACGAGGACTTAGTAGACCCAGGCTGGAGGAAAGGAATGGCTGCAGGGTCAACGGAGATCATCTCGCCTGGGGCTAGACGTGCGTTGGCATTCGTATGCTGAAGAAGTGCAATAGCCTATATATCGAAGCTAATACAAGAGAAAAAACCTGGCGCACCTTTTTGCCATTTAGCAGGATGGATCCATGAACGACGAGTCTCCGTGCCTCATAGACACTATGGGCGAAGTAGCACCGAAAGATGAACACGTCGATGCGCCGCTCCGCCTCGGCAAGCATTAAGCTGCCCACAGGAGCCAAGCCTTTCCTTTGCTCGTCATATGCTTTCTTCTTCCTTCTCTCCAAATGTTCGGTACACCCAGCGAATGCGTCGAGATCATCATCACTTAGAGGGCGCATGCTGACGAGGGTCGCACGCACATCGGGAAGTGTGTCGGGGAGATACCATCGCTTGAAGATTTTCTTGTTGACGAAGTCGCCGTGGTACACACGTACGAGTGCTTTCGAGATCCAACGCTGTTGAAACAGCATCTTAGGCGAGTGAGTGAAGTCAATGGCCTCGGCCTCGACACCACAGGACCGCCTCCAGAGGTTGTAGAGGTTACGCGGAGACCAGCTCTGTTAAAAATACTGTCTGTTTATGTTTTAGCTGAAGATAATATCTATGGCCTTGCGAATGCAAAAACGTTGGCGTCCCTCATGGTGAGGTTTGGAAGAAAAATGTGACTACCAAAAATAGTGTAAGCGGCAGAAGTGGCACGATGCCGCGCGAACCTCTTCTCTCCGTACCGCAATTACCATTAACTCCCAACAGTCGCCGTCGGAGTATCTCCCTTACTCCTCTGCTTTTTCTTTATCCCTCTGATTCGTCAACCACATGCATCCAAGTGTTCATCTCGACACATAGATGTAGAGTCTTTTCTCTCGGCTTGCGACCCTGTTCTGTACTAAAGCACCGATCTTCGCCGACCAAAAATCCCTTCCTCACCTGCAGGCATTCATCTCTGAGGCTTTGAGATGGAGACTTCCAATTCCCGATGGTGGGCACATTCGCTTTTGTTTTGCACCTAGGTGCCACAACATTCACGCTGCAGCATTGGCTCACCGAACAATCAAAGACGTGAATTGGGCAAGTGACCTTTGAAGTTTGAACGACTTATCGCGTGAACGATGTTCTTTCCCATCAGGAAAACCATTGTATTCCAGGTGGGACCACAGTATCCGGCAACGTTTGGTGAGCATTGTGCTTCAAGATGCTAAGGATCTAACGGCCATTACCTTTAGTAGGCTATCTCTTGAGATCCAGATGTCTTCCCAGAGGCTGACGCGTTCAAACCTCGGCGCTGGATTGATGGCCAAGGTAGCCTAAGAGACGATATCAAATCGTTTGTCTTCGGGTTTGGTCGGCGGTAAGCACCGTCTTTTGGATATTCGCTTTCTTTTGAAAATGACATTCCTTTCAGCGTATGGCCTGGTCAACTTGACGCAAGCAAGCAAGGTATTTTGCATGCACGCGGTCTTCCAAACTCACTTCGGCTGGTCCAGATCGGTGTTGATAACTGCTGTCCTTATTCTTTGGGCCTTCAAGGTCACTCTGGATCCTACGAAGCCATTTGAGGACATGGGGCTCATGGGCAGATCGATGCTAGATGTTCGGCCGCACAAATTTGAGTTTGAGAAGAAGATTCCGGAAATGGAGCTCAGGCGCATGATGCAGGATTATCCTGAAGTTGCATGAGAGACTTTGATGTCTGGATGTGTCAGAGAGGGAACGAAGAAACAGTCCCCAATGAATCAATATCGATGCACCCTCCAGGACCCGTAGTATGTTTTCATTTGGTTTGAGCCTATTCTGAATTGCGCATCATGTATTTCCTGTCTCTAAGAGCAGTGTCTCTGTGTTTCCACTCTTACATGTAATTAACAGCCTGTGACATGTGCATGATACTATCATGCAGTCTGACATTCATGTTGCTATGGGTTTGCGAACACACATGAGTGACTCAGGTCTTTCACTTGAACGCCATGTAGTACTTTGAAGTTTCCCCGAACGTCCGATGTGATTCCGAATGTGGATTGTGTCTTGTCAGTAGGACATCCGCGGTATACACCTTCAAAACTTCACTCAAGAGCAAGTTGGTGACTCTGAAATATATAGACTTTCACTTACTTCGTATGTGGCAGGATCCTTAGATCTTGATTCTTACTAGTTACCTGTCAACATTAATGTGTACGTTAAGCTAGCTACCTATACTTATTAGTAGTATGGGCGCTTCGAGTGGATCGTAAAAATGGGTGAGCGCTTTGAGGTCAGCGTCCACACCGTGACGACCTTCATTATCTAACCTGCCATCCCCAATCATCAATGGTTCGCGAATGCAATGCCTGTCGCGAGTCCTCCAATCTCAAGCGCTGCTCTGGCTGTCACAAAGTCTGGTACTGCTCTGTCACTTGCCAAAAGTCTCATTGGGTACGGCACATCTTTGCTTGCAAACCCCGTCGCCCCATCACCACCGCAGACCATCTAGCGCTTGCAGTCAGAAACAACGATCTTCCGCAAGATCCACAGACTTGCGAGGATTATGGGTTTGACCGTGCATTCACTGTGGAGAATAGGTGCAATCTTCTTGGCTTGTATATCGGTAATGATCTACATGTGGAGTTGACTCAGTCCAGTCTCTGAAACGTTCTCGTTTTCAGGGCTGATGGACCCCAATCGCATAGGAATTACTCCAAAGACCATCGACGATTGGCGGGTCAGGGGCGTGCTTGTAGAAGAGATTAAAGCAGCATACTACAAGATTCCAACCGAATCCAGAGGCGGTTACTTCCCTTGGTTCCTGCAGAACCAGCACACTCTTAATCCGTCTGCTGCTGGTGATAGCCAGTTGAATGACGAAGGGGATGCCATGGTTCTGCGTGCATGGCGCTTTACCGGAGGTGCAGAAACAGACTCGCCTGCAGACATAAAAGCCCGCTTAATCAGCATGCCTCATGACAGGCAAACATGTCATGTGTTCTATGCGCTACTCTTGAGCAGATTGTTTCCTGCACCAATCGATAACCTCTGGATCCCCTTCGGTTTCTGCTCATGCGCCTGTGAAGAGGAGGAAATGTATCTAAGCACACGTTATCAGGCCCTCATTGCCAAATGCACATTCGACGAATTTTGTGACGCCTTCAGCTCTGCACGTATTCTCGATCTTTTCCGCAAGAATGGAATTGTCGTAGACGTTCGCTACCTTGCGGATGTCTTGCAAAACCACGATATGCACAAGTCTGTCTGGGACCTCAAGCAGTTTGCCATCCAGACTAACGAACAAAATCCCGAGGGCAGAATGGTGAATTCCGTTGCGTGCGATTATGGGTTCATGAATTGCAGGAAAGATGCCGAGGTACAGGCGCTGAAGAAAGTTTATAGGTCATTTTTTGAACGCCATGATGCGGATCCGCTAGCGCTGCACGATGCTGCGATACGCGGAAATATCTTTGGGTATCTGGGGAGTTTGATAAAGCTGAACAGGAAGTACGAGCGCCTTATGAAGAATCCGTATCCGCTCCCTGTACTGGAGTGAGTCACAGGCAAATGACTTCTTGGTTTCGTGTTATTCTTGTCATCTTCGAACTCTCATGCAGTCTTTTTCTTGACTCCTTGTGCTATCAGATTCCGTTGCTAGTATTGTCCCATTTCCTCCATGATCAACAGATGTATAATTATACCTCGTAGGCTCGTATTCGCTTCGCTTTCCATGCTCACAGATGGAATGGTTGTCTCGATAAAATGTACAATATTACTGTGACTGCGCCCGCATCGTTAGATGTGGAATCCATACTGCCATCTCCTCCAATTCTATTGTCGGTCAATTTGCATGAAGTCACTTTGGTTATTTCGTTTTGTCTGGTCTGAGTCAGACTGGCTATGGTTCAAAGATAACTTCGCACACCTGAGTGATACACCTGAATCGTCACTCATCGGACATCCACTTGTTGTATCAAAGTACTTCAATATAATATGTATGCAAAGACCGAGAGCAAGTCTATAGTGCTGTCGATCACGTGGACTGACCAAAAAAAAAGGAAGACAGTCGCTCCTTCTATGTGCCATTGGCAGCCTTTTCTAACTCATGAGTGCCACAACAGCCTGACGATAGAAAATCTCGCATGCTTCTTTCGTGACCTCTGAGCTGAGGAGGGTGTCGGCGGTCTCCTTGGCGCCGGCGGAGTCCACGGAAGTAATCTCGCCCGCAAAAAGCCTGGTAGCGACTTGTGATACAGGGAAGGAAAGTGGATCTGCACAAGTTTTGCCAGGTTCGACAGCGAAGAGGTTATGGCTATATCGGGTTTCAGGTTCGCGCAGTGTAGGTTGAATGCTCCACAGATTATCATCAGCACGTTCGAGCTCCTTGAGATAGAAATCAGCATCGCTGCCATCATGAGATACTTGCAGGCAATCATGTGGGTTGGATCCAAAATGGATGTATGACCATCGTAAGGACTTGACTTTATGCTGGTCGGGGGTTAGAGTGCTAACAACAATGATCAGCAACAACTAATATGTAATGAATTCACTCACCTTGGCACCTCTCCACGAGCCGTCACAGTAGCCATGGGCAGCTGTATCACATTGGATAGTGGGAGCGATGCCACTGTCCTTGTCAGCAAGCGCAAATTTATTTATAATAATCTGCGAGGTAAGTCAGGGCACTGTCCTGATATAGAGATCGTGTTCTCCAATCATCCGCAGTTGCAGCCAATGACGTCAAACAAATTGAGAGGGCGGTAAGTATCAGGTACAGATCCGGTACCGGTACTATTCCCAGACACGGACCGGACATGCATCACTTGGGTATATCAAGTGCGAATGTGGTGCAAAGGGTGCTGCCTGTGAATGAAACATGGTGTTCTGCGTGGATGCGGCGCGTGGTGCTTGTGCTTGTGTTCGCGATTCCTAAAGAGGCTGGGAGGCTCTCGTTCGTTTCTAGCGTTGCACTTAGCTGTGAGATGTACTAGCAAAAAAATCGAAAATGATAGACCAATGCAAACTTTGAGTAAAACGATGCGAAAAACACACTCACCGAAATCAATTTCCCCGTCCGTCCCGCTCATTAATCTCCGCAACGCCCAAAACAGTCTCCCTAAGTCTATACGCGCTCTTCGTGAATGTCAGAACAGCGACTTTGACATCGTCTTTTGTCACGTCGTACGAGGCTGGCGGGGAGTTAATAGTCTGAAAAAAGATGATAGACGCTGAGACGTGCCTTTTGTGAGATGCCAGCGCCGCTAGTGCGACAACTCCGCCGCACATCTGCTGATGTGCACGTTGCCAGTGGATCTACTAGTATCCTCGCTGACGAACTAGTGGGTCTGTCTACGACAGAGCGGCAGGAGATACTGCACTCACCCGGAGAGGGTAGATGTATCACCCAGTATAATGGCATTGGGTTGCTGGAGTCATGCAGAAACGTTGTTTAGAAAGCATGCGAGAAACCCCCAAAGGTGGGTGTATCGTGCATCATTTGCAATCCCTGCAGTGGGGGACGATTCAGTAGATGGCTGGAAATGGTACGAAAAAGGGTCTACCGTGTGATCGCAGGTCCAGACAAAACGCCCCTTCCATGAGCTCTGTATCTTGGAGAAGTATGATAAATATCACAAGACAGAGAGAAAGAGCAAGTACCTCATTATATCGCCAGAAGAGATCTTCACCAACACCCCACCTAGTCTCAGTACCTTACAGTGCGTCAGAGATGGCCTGTATAGATTCTAGATTGAGGCAAGCGCATCGGTAGCTGTATCAGCTTGGCTCTTTTTTTGAGTGTCCCAAAGTTTGCTGCTCAGATGCAGCTCAGACGATAGGATAAATGCGCCAACGAAGGCATGCACTTCTTGTCGAATGCCAACAGGCGTGGACAAAGCGTTGGCTGATTCTGGTGAGACGCAACGGCAGCGCACATTAACTTAGGGAGATCACTTGGAAATGAGATACATACCTGAGGACTCCATTTGTCTTCGAACGAAAGGTGGAATGGACAGGGAGCCGGGTACCTGTCATAATTGTCTGGATGTCTTGACAGACTAGCACATCGAGATGACCAGTGCGTCAATGAATGCCTTCGGGCAGATGTTAGAACGAGGGCACGATGTTACAAATGAGTACAAGACATTGAAACAAACCAACAGAAACAATGGCGCTCGCAGAACCTGCCCCGAAAGAGATATGGAAGCTGTAATAGATTTTCCACATATCGGGAAAACCTCTGGGGATTGATGATGAAGCAGAGCAGTTTGACAGGACCCGAATCGTTAAAGATCAACCTGATTTAAATCGCGCCTTTGTTCAATAGCATAATCCTGCGAATGGAAAAGACCTACCTCGCTGACGCGCAAATGAAGTCCACTGCATTTTGCTGGCCGTCCCTCGCTAATGCCAATCTGTCAGGTCTGGCGCCAGCTCGTTCTGAGTCTAAGTTGGTACCACATGCATGACTTGGATGATCAGAGTTTGAGTCAAGGGACATTGCACAGCGATGTACCCACCTAGAACCTAGCTATTTGATGATCTGTGAACAAAGGAATGTGAAGTCCCATACACTGAAACAGTAGGCCGACATCCGACACAACTGAAGAGGAGTCAAGGAAGTAAATCGCGAGCGAGCACACACATAAATGCACACGCGTTTCCAACCCGACAGATGTGTAGAGTAAAGGGGCATGCTTAAGGAGACAAGCTTGGTTGAGGAGAAAGCCGGGAGAATGGGCATGGGAAACTTTGGACCTTTGTCTCTGCAGCCTTCTCGAACATGTCCGAGTTGTAAAACACATCTGAAGACTCTACCTCACGCCACTGAGATTCTGCAAGAATGCCTTCTTGTTCAGAGACGCTTCGTAACTCCTCGAGATGCGCCAACCTCAAATTTAATCATCTTTTGGGCGACAACTTTGTTCGTGATCACGCTTGAGCGAGGTGTAGTCATGATATAGATGCAGTGAGATTTTCCTAGTGCGCTGCTTTATGAGAGAGCAGATACGATACTCACCTCCAAGTCGCCCCAGAACACGCGTCTCTCACTTCCAACATAACAACTCTAACATCATGTCCATCAGCAGCTGCACTATCCAAAATCCCCCTCACAAATGACGCCCCAATAATACCCGAGCTAACAACGACAAAGTCGGCATGTGTCGGAAACGTGAGTGGCGATGGGTGAGGGTGGGTAAGACCAAGATAAGTGGCTGGGGTTTGGGAGTAGGAGCACTGGAGAGTGCTGGATGCGTGCTTGGAGGGTTTGGAAGGTGTGGAAGTTGTCGAGGGATTCAGTTAATGCTAAGCGGGCGAGGGAGTGTGTTGTCCGTCGCGGAAAGGAACCGATGCAGTTGTGGCGCGCTTGCAGTTTGTCGTGTTCTATGATTTCTTTACAAGTTTGGCGCCCTCCATAGCTCGATAAGTTCATGGAATTTATTCATCTTGTATGCTGCGGACTCTGTTGTATATACCAAGTCCGTGGCCTGCATGCATCCGTCATCATCAACATTGTCACTGACCGAGTAAACTGACTCACCTACCTGCACGTCGGCAGCGCCTGTCATCGTAGAACTTGGTGTCCGTAGGTTAACAATATCATACTTGTAGTAGAACGCGCCTGCCTCGAACACTTCTTCTGGAGCATCTGTACGTTGGCAGTCATTGCTCTTGAATGACGTTGAGAAAAAGAGAACGTGCAGCACTGATTGCATTGCAGATGTCGGGGGCTGGGTGAACATATACCTGAGGAAGCGTCAGTATCTAGGTATTCGAGTCAAATGAAGAATGATACCGAATGTGGATTGATCCCGTCCTCGAACTGCGTTAATAGCGGTGCAATGGTATCTGATGTAGAGAGCCCAGTATACACAGATACGGGAACGATGTTGGACTTTTGCATCCTGTCGCTGACGACTTGGATGGTGGAGTGGATTGTCTTGGGTACCTGCCCGAATGACGGGAGTGCATCTAGGACAGGAGGTGACGTTGATGATACGTATGTCGCGTTCGGTGGGTGATGCGAGGAGGAGAGTGAGAATGGCGAATGCATTTTGGGTTAGCGCGACAGTCTAGTCTCCGGCAGCAGATTGAACGAACGAAAAGCAGTTGTAACGAAGGGCCTGCCATGCACCCTGCATAGGATCGATCTTGGTGCCGATCAGAACCTGGGACCCTTCCTAATGTTTGCACCATGTCGCTGACAACGCGGATGGTGGAGTCGTCTGTCCTAGGTACCTATCCACCCAAACACGCTGAAGATGGCGGGTGAAAATGACCATTTGAAGGGAGCGCAAGCCTTCTTTTGTGGAAAAGTGGAGGTGTTGAAGGTGGGTTGGAGGTTGGGTTGCGGTAGCCGCGCAGCATAGAAAGGGTTGATGATGCGTATGTCGCTTCGGTGGGCACAACGAGGAGACGAGTTAGAATTAAGGATGATTGATGACGGTAGTCAGGCGTTGCGCTCCTAGAGCCTAGCTGCATACCATCCAGTCGGTTGAGGTCCCAGGATATTCTTCAAGGGTGAATGTCGCAAGGCTATTCTTGTCAGGTATTTTGCCGCATCACTAACGCTGGTGCATGCATGTCAATCTCAGATTCTATTAGAGTTTGGGTTGTTTGGCAGTATTTGGATGCCCTTTGGACGTTGAGGTTGATCGACTAGATAGTCCCACGAGTCCGTGTGTCCCAAGAGTCCGCGCATTGACTCTAGCACACGCTATTCTGCACGGAATTCTTATGTATGTTGGATCTAGGTTCTACCCAACATAATACATAGTGCTATGTTTTTTTTTTGAAGAAAATCGAAGTGGATCTCGTGCGATGGCCAACTTATTGGTGGTAAATGCTAGTTTTGTGCATAGAAAGCTCACTCTGAAGGTCAGATCACCACATAAAATTCTGGAATGCGGAATAATGATTGTACACAATGAGAGAATACTAAAACAAATTTCTCCGGGGCCACATGCTGGTCTGGATCATCTACAATAAAAGAAATATGCCCCAGACGTGACAATCTATCCAAAATGTTACATCGAGACTTTGTAAGTCGAAACTCCGCCATGCCGAAATGCGGCACAAAAACACCAATGCCAAATTGAAGTCTGAGCCCACCCCAACAGGTGCATGGTCAAGTCCAAACAGCACCACGAGGCCCAAGAAGAAAAAGTCCAGAAGGCCTGTGCAAAGCTTTGGGAAGATCAGCGAGCCGGTGTGACAATCATACCGGCGCTAGGCGTGTATGAATGTCATAGGCATATTTTGACTTGCCTAGAAGAAAAGAGTAAGACGCTAGTCACCAGCGCTATTCAGCTCCCAAGCTATCCGCTTTGGTACCACCTTTCCCCCATAGCGCGCTACCTGGTCTGACGTCTAGGTGTTCCGCCCTTCCATGTCCTGCCTATGTCCACCTACCTCCGCTGGTGTGTTATATTTCCTTAAATGTCGCTACTCATCAGTCGCAGGTCTTATTACATGTGTCCTCATGTTTCGCAGCGCTGCATGTTCTATTACCTGTCGCTACATCATGCCCTCACCAGTGTCGCTACTATACTCGCCTACGCATCCCGAACCCCTATGCAGTATGATAAAATGACCCATCCTACATACAGTACAGTACTTCCCTTCCCCGGACCCTTGCTGGTATCGGAGTCACTTTAGTCGCTATATCTTAGTTTTGGTGCAATCGATTCCGCTCTTGCCAATCTCTCTGATCACGTGTCGCTTGACTTGCTTCGAGTGCGCGTTGCTAAAGTTCTTTCATAAGTTTGATTTTCGCAATGTCAGGATCGCTGTCGGTAGTCAAGCTATAATCTAGTCGCTATCAGGCATTCCACTTGCACTATCATACCTTATCCCTCGCTTTCCCTTCTTTTGATTTCTTCTCGCTGTCGCTAGTCGGACGTCACATAGCGCTATCGCATAGGACAACTTGCATAGCGCTACTTACTTATACGCACGTTTCTCTGTCGGAACTCACTTGTCGCTAGTCGCTGATCGCTACAGTGCTACTCATTGGTTTTTGGTCTTAGGTCGCTATAGGTTATCAGCCCTTTGCATCATCACTACCCTTGCGTATTTGAAGGGAGTTGCTTCAATAGCAGTCCTCTTGGGTTGAATATTGCACTCGCGCCTATTTGGATAAGTAGTGCTAGTTTCTAACCAGCCTAGTCGCTATTACTCTTTCACACCGGTAACACACCAAACATCAGGAGAACAGCAACTTACTATGGTGTTCCAGAGAGTACTCTTCGTGGCCGCTTTTGTGGTGTTTGTCCTCCTAGGGAGGCCCACAAACACCAGCAACTGCTCTCAGAGCATCAAGAGAAAGTTCTTGTAGACTGGATTGAGCACCTTGATGCTGCAGGCAACCCAATCAGTAAGCGGACCATCAAACAGAAGTGTTATGCACTCTGTTGAAAGACACCGTCGAAGAACTGGATTTACTGAATGTGTCTCCTTGATTCAAGCGCAGCTTGATGGGCACCCACAGCTGAAGGACGATCCAAAATTCACCGGCCTTTATGGCCGTCTCCCTTGTGGGCAGAAACGCACACATGCAACTGTGGTTGATGAAAACACTGCACTGGCAGAGTCACTTCAAGTCGAGCAGCCTGCAATCCGTCGTCGACTCAACAATTCGCAACGTTTGACGGACTTACCAGTGTCATCCTTGTCCACTACTCTGCATTATGTTCACGCGCTGTCAATGTCTGATCCCTGTTACAATCGAGTATGCCCCTATTCATTTTCTTTCTCTTACATCATTGTATTACATCACGATCACATCTTGCCGTCACTAGATGATCTATTCTTGTTATCTCTGACTCTACTGAACCGGTGAGGCGATCTCAACCTGGCTGGGCTGATATGAAATATCTAAAAATGCTCAACCAGTATAAGTGAGTCTTGGCTCTGCCTAGCTGCTATACTCGCAGAATGCAAGAACGTTCGACCCTAAAGGGGACTGCTACTGAACACAGAACCAGATGAATGAAAGACCCTTGAAGTGCGATGGATGCGCGAAAGCGCAAGAAGAAAAGCGAAGTGAGCGCAAAGCGTGAGAGAGCGTACTAAGGTAAGCGCGAGCGTGGGAATGTGAGCGCTAAGGCGCGCATTGTGCGGAAAATACCGGATGAGGAAACGGATAAGGAAGCGGATGTGCAAAGCGAGTGCAAATGCAGAGCGAGTGTGATAATGAGCGCGGATAATAGTCTAGTATAGGCGGATAACGATAACCATTGGAAACACAAAGTGCGCCCAAGTGGTGACTACTACTTTAAAGTAAAACCCAATAGCGAGGGAAGTACAGCAAAGGGGAGTAATAATGATGAAGTAGTAAGTCAGCAACCTTTATACTATGGAAATCGCATTGGAAGTGGAAGGGATAGGAGCAATAAGCGCTATGAATACGTAATGACATGTAATAGCGCTGCAATGCTTGTTACAAACCACAAGGCAAGGGATATGACGTACCAATGAGGTGGGTGGACATAGAGGGACGTTCCTGGATGATAGGCGATGAGGGCAATGCAGGGCGCTTGCAGGGCGCTTAAGCGTGAGAAAGCGCGCAAGGTGCGCGTGTGGGAATGCTGCGTGTTGTGCGGGAAAGTACCGCGCCTATGGCGCGTTTCGTGGGAAAGCTGCACATTATGTGTAAAACGACTAGGGACATGATAGAAGTCGAATATAGCTGATGGTGCAAGTTGTGCATTGAAGGCCAATTGTCATGAGTTGTGAAAAGGTGCGAAATGTGCCTATATGTGCCTGCAGAAATGCGAGTCTCTACACCGGCCCTAAACACGGTTGTCGTTCACTATATAAACTCGCTTTGTACTATGTAGTTCTTTACTTTAATCTTACTAGGTTTTAACTGGAACTTCCTTCGCTTAAGACCTCCAATCTTAAGTCGTCTGAAACTTGATTCAAGCCAAGGACACTCTCCTTGTCTTGTCTTAGTGAACCACCGAACTCTGGTATACGCCAGAGCCTTGAAACCAACCTTGGCCGAATACTCTTATCGAGTAGCCATACGTCAGAACCATCCTAGTTCGTAACAAAAGATTAAAGTCTTCAACGAAATACATCGCCATCACGCGTTGTAACCCAGAAAGAACAAACCCTGGTCATCACGACAGATAGAACTCCAGGTCCTCCAAAGCTGAAACAAGCTGACGTCATTAACACCAATCTTTGGCGCTTTAAACTTAGGTGCCATACCACCCATACCACCTTTGAACCCCCCGATGTCTTCCTCCAAACCCGTTGAAATCAAAATTGGATCTCCGCCGATCTTTGATGGAGATAGAGATAAATCAGATGGATTTTTAATGTCATGCACGTCTTATCTTGATATTAACGAAAAGATCTATATCGACGACAAGCAGAAAATCATTTTTGTAACTTCCTTCATGATTGAAGGAAACGCGCGCTACTGGAAGGAAGATTTCCTCAGACAGGCGCAAGATCCCAATAACAAGACTACCGCAGGCCTTGTCAAAGGATATGGTACATGGATTGAATTCCTTGCCGACTTCAAAAAAGCATTTAGGCCGCTTGATCCCTCAGGAACCGCGTTAGCTAAGCTTTGCAACCTGAAACAAGGAACCGAACTCCAAGATTATATCTCGGAGTTCTTGATGCTCACACGAAGGGCAGGAATTCACAATGATGTCTCCAAGAAGCAATTCTTCTTGGACGGATTACACCCAGGACTGCTCGCTCGCCTCTATGGCACGGGCGACGTCTCTGATGACTTTGACATCGTCCTCACCACCTGTATCAATCTCGACAACGCACACCTTCACCTGAACACAATTAGAGTGTGCCACCAACCCCAGAAGAAGAAGAACTTCGGATCTAACCAATACGTACCATCTAAAGATCCTAACGCCATGGTAATCAATCGACTCTCTGAAGAAGAACGTGCTGAACATTTCCGAACCGGAAAATGTTTCACCTGTCACAAGACCGGACATCTTTTTAAGAACTGTCCCGAGAAGAAGAAAGGAAAGACCCTGATACACCGCAAAGAAGTAGAAAGCAGTGACGAAGAAGAAGAAGAAGCGGAAGTCTGTCGTCTTAACGAGGATTTTTGATATGGGAGACTGGATCAACGTCAGTATCTCTCGATGTACCCATAAGACTTG